GTCTTGATGCTGTGGCCTACCCAAATAGTTTTAATTCCAAACTCATTCTGTCAATTTTCTTTGAGTCATTTTTCAAATTTTGATTATTTGGAGAAAAGGCAATTCTGCAAAGCCAGTAAGATAGTTGGAACTTATAAATAAAAGTTGTTTGGCACCACTTTCACGCCGCTACTGCTGGCACCACTTTCACGCCGCTATAACCTTCCACGCCAACATTGAAAACCACAACTTCCATTCGCCCTGTTAGAATATTGTAAAGGCGAGAAAATGCGGAAATCACGTGAATGCTTGAAATGATTTTGACACCATGCAATGCAGTCAAAAGACCAAATGTACAGGATTCCGATTATGGTGTAGCAGGTGTTTTGTTATAACTCATGCATTGCGGGAATAATGAGATTATGAAAATGCGGCGAATATGACGCAGACATTTTTTCCTCTCAGCAAAACTAGGCTTCCTAACAATTTAGGTAGCACGGAAACCTTGGTGTGGCTGAAATGCGAACACCTACCAAAATAGGTAAACATGACGTGCCTACAACTTTCAGCTGTGTAGCAGCTTCAGTATTTTCAAAAAAATTTAACGGGTTTAGCGTGCAACGTGGAATCTATGAATTTCGTTCAAGCAAAATTGCCACTTACACATTTTTGCAACGTACGTCTTTTGGCAGCTGTGCAAAACTAGATTTGTCAAAAAAGTTTTCTCTGCCACAGTCGACTCTCACAGAAAAAAGGATTGCTGATCTTCTTTAAGTCAAATCAGACTGAAATGTTTCTAAAAAATTTTTTTTGCATTTAACTGGAATTTTTGTTTTACTGCGGGTTCGGTTCCATGATTACAAAGTGCAAAAATTAGCTCTGCTCTTTTTTTTTCGCATGGAAAAACACTTTTTTCTCAACATATAATGGTCGTGAGGCAATCAAAAATGATCACCATACATTTAATGAAATCCAAACAAACAGCAGTGCGTGCCGTAAGGTTGTCAGCGCGTTCATGCTTTTTTACTGTTCGTGAAGTAGTCACTGTATGAAAGTCGATGATTTGCAATTTGAGAATTCTTACTGAAAATGTTCTTATTGGTCTTTTCATGCACATGGAAATGCGACAGGCATGGCGTCCAATGAAATGTTGGTGTTACATTACATTCTTCGTAAAATTTTAGCTTTTTAGCAAGTATAAATACCGCGACTGAGAATACCAACAAGCTTTACGACGGCTTTTTATGAGGGCTCGTACATGATGTTAGGCACTAGGAACTTCAGTTCAGCTAACTTTTACGAAATTTTTGGACATAAAGTTCCAATTTCCAGAATTAGCTCCAGTTAGGAGCTGAGGCAGTTTATCCACTAGGATCTGATTTTAGACTTTTGTCGCAAAAAGCTTTGAGGGTTAGCAGTAACCAATTTTAAATAAAAAAATTTATTTTTGCTCACAAAAGAATAAATTTGTATATCAAGTCAGGCAAGTGTACCAAAACAAACCAAAAAAAAAGTGCAGTAGAAAAATTTTCAACCTTCAATACTAGTGAGATTCAGGCAGCATAGGAAGTCCCGTCGAATTAGCGCACTCGAAAGTGCTTCTAAAACAATTTTTGACAAACATGCTTCATGACAGTAATGAAAACACCTTGAAAATCTCAATGAGTACAGAAGTAGAATTTTTTGAAAAAAAAGTGCGTTTCAAGGAGGCGCGACATTCGACTGTCAAAAGATTTCAAAATCACAGCTAAAAAGCATAAGTGGCACATAAAGAAAATTAAACATGCATAAATATGACAATAGCGTTAAAATGATATACAAAACTGGCTTAGCTGTTGGCACGTGAACATTCAGAAAGCTTGGAGTCAGTGCTATCGCAGGAATTTGATCACAAAAAGTCAGACTATTGAAGGCTAGGGAAAGTACAAAATTTATAACAATTGAAGAAGGAAATTCGAGGCTTCGTCCAAAAGCTCTTCATCTTCATAGTACTGCTTAAACCAGCCCTGAAATTCTTACTGAAGGTAAAACAAGTATTTTTCCTGTTTTCCTGTCCGACGACCCTGAAAGCACTATTTAGAGAGTGAGTCCAAAATTCAATGTGCCAGAAAACATCTGAAACCAGTCCAGTGAAAAACATACTTTTAGAGATTCCCACACTTTCTTTACTTTGTTGTTATATCCGACCATCATTTTACGAACGAATTTCTTTACGTTTTCAATCTCTATCTGCAATAGCTGCAGCTCCTCTTTAGCCTCTGCAAGCTGCTGGCGTGCCAAAAGCTGCAACAATTGTAATCTTATGAATGCTGCCTTTCCTCTCATAAAGCCCTATTTAGCCCCTTTTGCCAAGGATATTGGCCAGGGTAGGATCGACCCTTTCAATTTTACTTTTTCCGAAATCTTCGAATCGTGACATATTGACTATGACACCATCGGCCGCCGTGTTTCAGACAAAACAGTTGCAGTTTGCGAACTTGCATGCATGGTGAGAGCCAAACCTCTCACCCAAACATCCTACGCTACCAAACGCTTGACAGTGCCACAATTTTGTCTACTTTTTTGTGCGTATTCGAGACAAATTGGAAGTCCAAACTCTCGAAGGGTCAACTGCATCAATTTTATGTTGAACAATATCAAAAGCAAGGAATTGTAGTTTGCTCTCAAAACAGCAGACGGAAACGAGAAATATATGCAAAAATCTTGTGACATTTGCTAATATATCTAAAGTTTCACTTTACCAATTTTGAGTGTTGCTGCCGGATATTATTCAATTTTTTGTCCGCAGCATACTTCTTCTCCACCAGTTCAGCAATCTCCTGTCTCCTAGCTGTCAGCTCATCCTTTATATTTTTCTTCGAGTCGTTCGAGTTATGACAAATCAGCTCTGACTTCGTCTGTCAATAGTTTTAACTAATGGAATCGAGCATTTGTTTGCAACAAATTGAAAATTAATTTTTTCAGTCCCAAAATTATTTGGCTTAAACAGTTTTCTGAGTTATTTCAAAACAGTGATGGAAAATGAGCAAATCTGCAAAAAGTTGAGGTGTAAGATCAGACTGCTTGGAAAATAGTGGAAACCTTGATTTTGGCAGTAAATTCCAAGAAGCCATCTTCATCAGGCGAATGCTCCGTCAGAACAGCGATAAAAGAGTTATCAATTGCATTGTTTGCCGTACTCAAATTATCAAAAACCAGGATGAGTTCCTCATAACGGTCAATCATCTAAATTAAGACAATTTCAACCGC